TCCTTAATATTTCAAAAGAGCGAATGGAATTGGCACGTAGGCTGAGAGCAAACAGATGCTGCAAATGATATTGAAATAAAGATCGAAAAATTTAAACGTAAAATTAAAGTCCCTTTCTTAGAAGAAGTTTCTAGTGAACTAGATTTGGCGTTTTCCTCGGATGATCCTGTGTTTCTGGCGTTTGACGTCTTTAATGTGTCATTACAAAATGATCTTAAGAAAAGAATTGAGTGTGTTTATGTGCTGGTTGGTTTTTACGGAGAGTCACATCTTTTAAGAATGAAACAAATACTGCGGAGCCGTTAATAGATATATCACAAGTAACAAAAGTTGATATTAAAAGTTTTTTTAACAATTTCGATACTGAAGTTAAAAGAGAAGAAGAAAAGAGAAACGAAGAAATTTGCGAAGTAATGTTGTAAAATACAAAGAAGAAAACCCGATTTCATCTTCGCATATATATGCTGCTCTAATGAAAGAACAATTTCAATATCCAGAGTTACTTACTTAGTTTAAGTTCTCTCTTTAAACCACGCCTAGTACTGCTAATATTGAGAGAGGTTTTTCTGCACTTGGCAACGAAGCAACGGAATAGATTGCAACCATGTAGTTTAGACAAGCTAATGCAAATAGTTTTTCTTGGTCCAGATCAATTCGATGATTTCACATGGGAGAAATTTGTGGATAAATACAGAGATTCTGGTGTTCGTCGAATTGAATTGTAGCAATTATTTAAAATTTGCTTTATATATAATAAAGTATTTTATTTACTAAATAAAACGATTGTTGATTATTATTGATTACTAATTTTTTCTCTAGACTTGTTTATAAACATTATAGCGTAGTAATACGCTTAAAAGAGTACGCGTTTTTAAATTAGCTTTTGAATGAATGAATTTTCAACAACGCATCTTTTACAAAAAAATATAAATCAGTGTATAAAAAAAAAAAAAAAAACAGTGTATATAAATCAGTGTATAAAAAAAAAAAAAAAAAAATCAGTGTATAAAAAAAAAACTATTAAATTAACTACATTTTTTTATTAATTACATTTAACTTCAATATCAAAAAGAAACATGTTATTGTAATGCTACGCAATGTACTTAAGTATTGTATATACAACGAAAGTGCTTATTTTTAACAATTTAACTATTCTTAAATAAAATAGTTTTCTTAAAGTAACTTATATAGCAACTTGTATATAAATAACTATTAAAAATAAAATAAATATAGCAACTTTATAGCTTCGGATAAACACTAACATAAGTGAAATTTAAAAAACAGCAATGGCGGCGCCGGTGGAGGCACGAAAGTAGGGTTAAAAAAACTTACAGTTTACCTTTTATATTGCATTTTTTTATTATGTTTATACATTATTTTATAATGTATAAATATAATATAATATAAAATTTTTTTCGATGACCCCCCCCCCTAGTTGCCGCGATCTATAAAAACCGGCATCCCCAAATAAACTCTGGGTTCTTCACTGTCAGACTACATTGGTAATGGATAAATGTATTCAACCATTAGCAATACAGTCACAAAACATTGCTAATGATTGAGGTCCACTAGCTTTAAAACATATATTATATATTGTTGTGGGTGAATTGATGTGTAACCTAATTCAGTGAAAATGATACTTTTGCATATTTTATTGCGATCACAATAGGGCCGCAAGTAGCTGTTGCGCAGACATCATCATTAGACATCATCTAACTATCTTGGTAGAACATGCAAGAAAGTGCTACAACATCTACTATGGTTTTGGGTTGTGACACTAATCTTTTTATTTTTTTTTTATTTACACAAAAAAACCATATGAAAAAAGGTGAGCAAATAATGCTTTCAAAATGTTGCCAATATACAATGTAGCCAAGATGTAAATTTGTGTGATATTTTTTTTTGATTAGGATAATGAACACTAGATCTTGTTGACTCCTATAATGGATTTTTGCTGTGTCAACCTGGTAGTGGCTATAACATTCTTTTTGTTATAATATTTATTAAGTAGCAGATGTATTGATACTTCATTATCATTAATCTATTTAAACTTTTTTATTTATCTATTTTTAACCATAAAAAACTCAGAAAAAGTTAAAGCGTAAAATAAAATTACTTTGCTTACATAATAAACCATAGTATAATATAAGCTGGTTACATCATTAATTTTTAATTTTTTTTATAATTTTACTCCTTTAACCATGTAATTGTTTGCATAACACAAAATAAATTTTTTATTTACTTTTTAACTCTCTCCCTCTCATAATTAAGTATACCCTAAACTTATGACATCAGATAACTAACATTTTCTCTATCCTCTATCCTTTTGAGCAATGATTGAAGGACCTCTATCCTTTTGAGCAATGATTGAAGGAAGTTCTTCCAATAATATGTTATATAAACTAGATGTCTAATTTTAAAAAAGTAAAAAAAAGTATAAAGTTAATAAAACAACAATCACAATGCCTCCAAAAAATGAGAAAGAAAAAAAACTAGATGACTTGTTAGAGCAAATTAAACAATTAGAATTAAAGCTAAACTCTAAAGAAGAAAAAATTGAAAATCTAGAAGAACGAATAAAAAAATTATAAGCTGAAAACACTTCTAATAATAACAATCAGTGTATAATAAATGATAAACCATGGAATGTTGTTTCCACCAAAAATCATAAAAAGACCCAAGTACAAATAGATATTATTAATACTGTCATAAACAAAACAGCTGAAAGAGCTAGAAGAGAAAACAATGTTCTTGTATTTGGTTTAAAAAGTCCATAAGTGATTTAAATGAAAAGTCCATAAAAAGTGATTTAAATGAAAAAAGATGATGATAAAAAAGAGGTATTAAAAGTCATGAAAGATAAAAATTTAGAAAGTGTGCAAATTAAAAGAATTACAAAATTAGGATCAAAGGATTTGTCACATAAGTCCCCAGTTGCTTCAGCTTGATGATTATTTCTTATATATTTTATTATTTGTGTAACATGCATGCTTTTCAATGTTAAGATCGTTTGCTAAAAGATTTAGCATATAAGCAGCACACCCATAAGTTATGGTAATATCTCTTTCAGATGACAATACTTGTCTCATTGATTTCATATTAGCTGCATTGTCAGTCACAAAGCTTTTTACCGTGCATCCAAATTTACGTCTTACAAAATCTATTGCTTCTCTTGCTAATTGAGTAAGATATTCACCAGTATGTAAATGACCAGAAGTGTTGATTGTTTCTACTAAAATGTTAATTTTATCTGTAATTACAGAGATACAAACTATAGGTTCATTATGTACATTACTCCAGCCATCTAAAGACATGGCTACAATTTTCCCATTCAATACATTACATTTTACTATTTTTTCTAAAAACAAAATATACTGTTTTATAACCTTTACAACAGTAGATTTAAGGATATCACTATCCTTTGAGATTTGTAGTTCCATGATGGATTTTAATAACTATAATAATAATACCTTTTACAAATACCTATCAAAAAATTATTAGTAAAACCTATTTCTATAAGCTATTACCTAATATAATATAACTAATAATACCTATTTCTTCCTTTAATGATTTTGATATTTCACCAGCTTTTTTTGTTTCATAAACTTTGTTCTTAACATTTTCTGCAACAGATACAACTTTAGATAATGTGTTTATCACACCATCTTCCTTTTGTTTTTCTGTCGACAAACCAATCTTAAATAATTGATAATAATGTTATATAACTTGGTAGCTTTCTCTGCAAAAATATTGTTGACAAAAAAAAAAGTTATTTTCTAAAAAAAGTTAAATATAGTTTAATTTTTTTTTTTTTTTTTAAAAAATTTTACACGCCAATGTGCATACTTTGCATCTTTTTTTTTTATGATAATACTTAAATTACTCACTCAAAACTTTTAAAGTTTAACTATCCACATAAGAAAAAAAGGAGAAAGGTTTAAAGACAAGATTTAAAGACTTTTGTTATTGTTGTAGGCAATGTCATTAAATATATACAAGAAATAATTTATTTTGGAGCCGTTTCAGTAATAAATATTAAGAAAGTTTCAACTTTTTATATTTATTCAAAGTTTCGATTTCCCATATTTTCAATTAGATTATTTAATAACCTAAAATTATTTTTGTCATATGTTTCTTTTGAATACAGCCTAGAATTAAAAATTCTAGGCTGTGTTCAAAAGAAACATATGACAAAAAATATTTTATGCATAACAAAGCCTGCGTTATGCAAAAAACGTAGCAAAATTATTATCAGGCATTTTTAAATACAAATATAAAAAATAACACACAAATACAAATACTTTGTATTTGTGTGTTAATATTTTTTTGGCCGTGGATAGCCTACCGAAAGTCGGTAGCGGAAAAATAAAAATTATCCTACCGAAAGTTTTTTTTATTGGTTGACAATATCACATGTCAAAATAAACAATATTTGTTATACCGTAAAATGAAGATAATTTAAGATATTATTTTTAAAAAACAAAAACGTAAAAAATGTAAAAAAATTAAATAGGATTTTCCATTAAATAAATAGAAATGACTGCCACCCCATACCAAAACCCTCAGTCTATGCATGTACACTACACAGCGCCTATCCCTATATTAGTAAATGTATGTGCTCTTCACTGCGCCTATCCCTAAGCTAGTAAATGTATGTACACTTCACTGCGCCTATCCCTAAATTAGTAAATGCATGTACATTCCTCGGTGCCTATCCCTAAATCAGTCAGTGTATAAACACTCCATTGCGTCTATTAATGCATTGTGCTATTCCCAGCGTATATCCCTAAATAATTTATTCAATTAATAAGCGTAATAAAACCTAAAAAATATGGAAAAAAACAATCGAAATGTAAAAAACGTTCCTGAGGTTGGATTCGAACCGGAGCGTCTGCGTACGGTTCCAAACTTGTATCCGATACACTACTGTAACAACTATAAAAACAGTTAAAAGTATATTTATATAGCAATTTTATTGTGACACGTGATATTTCTTAACCAATAAAAAAAAACTTTCGGTAGGATAATTTTTATTTTTCCGCTACCGACTTTCGGTAGGCTATCCACGGCTGTTTCACTCAATATAAAAGCGAGCCTGACGTCACGAGTTTATCAAAAAAAAAAGTATTTCCGCATAAAAAGTATAAAAATTCATTAACTTTAAAATAATAGTATTTTTTTTCTATAAATTCTTTCATCTTCAAATAAAAAAAATATAAAAGATCTATCTTTCCTTGTTAAATAAACATTTACATTAAACGGAATAAAAATGAAAGCTGTAAAAATATTGTTAATAATTTGGCATCACTTTTTTGATTTTTGCGATTTTTACGCAAAACCTGTCTTAGGCCAACTAAGATTTGATAACATAGCTACATGGTCGATGGTTGAAATTTAGAACAGTTATTAATGAATGTCTGTTCTATCTAGATTTCCACAGACTTTGCAAGTTTTTATATAGAAAGTTAGTTTTTAATGCATTTATATTTTTGTTTTTATTCGTTTTGAATAAAAAACATAACATTTTTGAAAAGTCTGTGGATTTAGTAATACTTCAACCTTATATGAATAAGAAAATCAAAAAATTATTTTCTGTACCTCTAGCTATGTTATCAAATATGTTTTCAAACTTGGCATGTTTAGCGACATTTTTTTTAGTTTTTTTTTGCATAAATTCTTGTTTACATTTTAAAGCGGTGACGCAAACTCTGATCGTTACGTCCCCAACGATTATCGGATGCATTTTAAGAAAACAAACAAAACAAACGAGACACATTTTATAGAATAAATAACAAAGTTTCGCGGATTATTTTCTCTTGGATATTTGACTAATTTCAGATAAGTTGATTAATCCGATTTTATCTAGTGCATCTATTTGTCAATATTATTCTATTTAAGTTGTTTGTATTATAATTTTATTACTATATCAATAAAGATTATAAAGCAAAGTTTCGTGGATTATTTCCTCGTGGATATTCGACTAATCTTAGATAAGTTGCTTAATTCTTTTATTTTTAGTGTATTTATTTGTAAATATTATTTTATTTAATTTCTTTTATTATATTATTATTATAATATCATTATCATTATTTATGTGATGTATGCAACTGAGAGGGAAATTTTGAAACTGTACATCGGTTGGGAAGATGGTTGGGAAAATGAGTATAACTTTAATTTTGTAAAGCGAGTAATTGACACTAGTAAGATCACTAACAATGTGATTTCAATTTTATTAACAGTTTTTCATCCAAAAGCGTTGTTTACTTTTTTAAGTTTTCTTTTGCCAATTGAGTTTAATATGCCTAATATTGATGTGTTAAATAAAATGTGCCGAAAAATAAAACAAAGAAAAAAAGATTCTAAAAAGTATTTTGAAGCTTCAAAAAACGAAGCATTTTTTAAAATGCAACTGTCTCCAGCTCCACAAACAAAAAAACAAAAAAAATCAGCAGATGCAGATAATTTTTATATTTTAAATAGGAATAAGGAACTAAGTAATCAAGTTGAACAATTAATTTCTAAAGAAAAAAATAATGTGGAGCAAATAGATAATTTAAAAATACAGGTATCAAAGTTGGAAACTGAAGTTATATATTTAAATTCTAAAAACAAGGCTCTCAACGCACATTGTAACTCATTAAGTTCTCAATTAGAGACTATGAGTATTAGGCTAAAACAGGAGGAGCAGTTCCAACTTTTAAAAAAAAAAATTAAAAACAGCACACCGTAAATTTGCATCTGCTCGTGCCAAAAATGTAAGATTGCTAAAAAAATTTAAATTTGAAGAAAAAAAAATGTAAAAATCAGTGATATAAACAAGAACAGCTGCCAAATTTGCAAATATTTTGCTAGCAGTGATAAGGATTTAGTTATCGTTGATTCTTATTTAGACTATGACAACATTGGTTCCTCTGAATTATTCTGTGGGTTTAAATTAAGTAATCCACAGACTATATCAGTTAAAAAGCCAATCGTTGGTAAGAAATATACTTACATTAAGTTAGGAGATGGTAAATCTTATTCTAAGTTAGGTAGGCATGCTGCAGCTAGACGATCTAAACTTGCTTTTATATTCCTTCGATTATTAGCTTGTTCAGATTTGGAAAGTGATTTGTCTATGTTGTTTTGTGATTCTGTGTCTTGTGAAAAGTCTATGTTTCATTGTGTTGCAAATAAGTTGGGTTTAGTTAGGCAGTTAAGTGTTTCTGATGCTGTAGAGCTGCAGAGCCAATTAAGGATGCCCACGGCTGAATTCCGTAGGCTAAGACGTATTCTGTGTAATCTTGGTGCAAGGATTCTCCCATCTGAGCCCAAGATAAGACAAGAACAAGAAATGCGGGCAATGCATGTTAGTAAAGAACATGTTACTGTAAAGTCCATGTTGCTTTATCCATCTGCGAATGAAGCACCTTGTTTAGTACCTGTATTGATGGTCAAGAATTTGATAACTTATATTGAAGAGGTTTTCAATAGTCTGCACGTTCGTGACCACTTCAATTCTGATGTCGGTTTTTGCGAAGAGGTATAACTCCTTTTTGCTGGGGATAAGGGTGGGAAGTATATGAAATTCCATTTTGAAGTTGTCAATTCTAAATCATCAGGGTCTGTATATGATGTTCATTTATTTTGTATGTATCAGGGTTCAGACTGTCGTGAGAATATTGCCTTAGTTCTCGGGCATTATGCCAACGACATTAAAAGAATTCAGTCGTCAGATTTTAAGCTAAAAGGCAAAATAGTCAGGTTGTTCTTAGGTGGAGATTTTCATTTTATCGATGATGTTCTGGGACACCAGGGTTCAGCTGCTAGCTTTCCTAGTTCTACAGACCAAGTTAAGTTGAATTCTCTAAGAAACCATGCTTCTATGCCTCATACACCTGCTAATTGTAACATCTTAAGGAGGACAATACAATCTCTGGAAAGTGCTTACAATGAGAACTTGTGTGAAGATAGACAAGGTGGAAACCTAAGAGCTCTAGGTAAGTTTCAAAAATACGCAGTGGATATATCCACTGCGTATTTTTTTTAAGTTAAGTATTTTTCTTTAATTTCTGTTAAATCAAAATTTATTATCAAAATTTCTCTCATATAAATTATATTAACATCAATATTCCACATATTTATACAACAAACTGATAAAGCCATTTTTATATTATTATTTATTTTACACCTAATAATGCTTTTAAAGGATGTGTGGCTAAACGATGTACACGGGTTTTTTCACCTTTCAGGTATTATTAAACTCTTTTTTATCAAGATATTGAACAGGAGTAACTTTAAAATCTGTTTTTTGATGTTGATATTCAGCAGTATATCTTTTTGTGAATAACTTCTGAGCAGTTTGGAGAGTATTACAAAACCAATATTTCTTCAAAATCAATTGAACTAAACCAAGGCGATTCCCAACATTTTTTATCATTTGTATTGAATATATATCCAAACAATCCGTTTATAATATATACGGGTATATATAATATATATTGACCCGTATATAATATATACCTATAATATATATTTTATATATACCTATATAATATAATATATACCTATAATATATAATACCGTATATGATATATACCTAAAATATATAATATAGACCCGTATATATATATATATATATATATATATATATATATATATATATATATATATATATATATATATATATATATATATATATATATATATATACACGG